AACTTTTTGTCTGATGTGGTTAGAAATTAGACTACATCTGAAAGAGAAGAGATTCATTCATCTCTTAGACTGATGCCATAGGGGAGAGCTTCTTCCCCACATAAAAAATCCAAGAAGAACTTGACACAGAATTTGACTGTACTGATTTCCAAGCCCCATTCTTCCCATGTGATAGACAAGACAAAAAGAACCTTGTAAGAGAACCTAAAATACAGGAATGGATCATGTCTCTTGGGTGGCAGAACAAGAAAAGTAGTGTTATTCAGACTCTTCAAAGACTTCTGAACACTCTGGGCGAACATATTGCAGCTGTTAGCTGGGCTGCTGTCAGATACAGCAATGCTCATTCAGGATGAAGGTTTTATTCAATATAAGTCTTATGTGAATGGTAATCATATTGAATAATCATGTGGCTCCTGCAAGTCTGTAGGGAATTGTACACATTTGGATAAAGAGATTGGAAAGAACGAGGATACTTCCCACATAGCTGATGGAAGTGTCTACTCAGCCAACATTTGCTTGTTCACACAGCATTAAACATAAACCAAATTGCACAAAGCAGCATTTCACTTACTATTTTCTTTGGAAAAGACTACTCATCAGCCGAGGTAATTCCTTCACCTTGGCCTAGGAAAAAGAATACAGAATAAACACTGGTTATCTACACATAGCAACATGATTTATATTTATGAAATGTTTGACCGCAGAATATCAAGGTTCAACCTTCTTGGCTGTGTGGTTAAAAATAAAATCCACAAAAAATTGAGAAAAGGAATGTTGTAATATTGAAATACTGTATTTCTTTCAAAGATCTAGGAAAGCCTCTGCATTCTAAAAAACTGATCTGTATTTATAAGCTAGATTTATAATCATGTATAAAATATATGTATGTGTTTTGTTTTCTGCACTCTTGGGAAGTTCAGGTTATTCCAAGAATGAATACCTACATTCATGCTCTTCCTTCTTTCAGTTTGCTTTTCCTTTTCACTTTAAGGTGCAGCAATTTATACGTAATGTGGCATTGTCTTTATTTCATCTTACTATGTACTAGCAAAGCAATTATACTTCTAACAGGCTGCATTTTGCATAAAAGCTGTTTAAGGAATCTTGCTCAAAATATCCTGAATTTAATATAATCATATTACATAAAACATTTGAGCAGCCTGAGATACATTTTCTTGCTTTTTCTATGTCACTTGTTTCAGAAAGCAATGCACGTCTCTTACACTATACATTTCCAAAATGATGACTAATCTACAATTGACTAATCTATCATTAATCAGTCTTAAAAATATTAGACATTTCAAATCAATTTCTAGCTTCTAATTCAGTCCAAAGCTTTCAATTTCAAGGAATTTAAATGTCTGAGATTTGAACGTCTTTGAATTTAGCCTTACAAAATTCCAAGAGTGGCAAGAACTTGCACTGTTGACTGAAATGAAACGAGATCTAGATCCTCTGCCAATGCTCAATGAGTTAGACCTATGCCCTTTTGCTGTAAGAAAACATAAACCCCATCTATCTTTGCATGTGTGTTTGGTTGCACATGCTTGCCCCTTTCTGGGGCACTGCAATACTTTTTCTAGACTTTCTGTGATTTACCTATTAACAAGTGATCACAATTTACAAATGTCTCAGTGAGGGGATCCCAACGGCTATAGCATGTTAGACCTAACTGAAGCATGAGAAATGGGCTAATAAATATTCTGAGAATGTAAAAAATGTATTTCTTCCTCATATGGACTGTGCCAGTGATGAAGAAACCCCTAAAACAATGACAGAATTTCCCAGGACAAGTTTCCTGTGTATATATTCATAACTATGAGGAATTTTCAAAGTTCACCAAAGAGTTCTGAGAAGCAAGTAAAGAAAATAGTTTTCTATTTGGACTAAATAAGACTTCTGCTCACTGTATTTCACCAGATAAATCAGTGATTTCAAATTTTCGAAGGCTCACAGGCTCAACTGACCAGCCTTGCAATGAGCCTGAATAATTACTATTTGCATCACAGTCACATTCATAAAAACTTGCAGCCAAACTTATTAGATAGTAAATATTTACAAAGATCAGTCTTAGTAGTATCGAACAGAAGAGCTCAATTCAAGGGGAAAAAAAAAAAAGACGGCGGCTGTAAACGTTGTGCGACAGAATTGTCCCTGGTCCTGTCGTTACCACAGATATTCTTTACATTCTTTAAAGCTCTGTCTTATTTTTCACAGGTGCTGTGGGATGCTCTAGGAACACCACATGGGCCAGTCAAAATAAGGTGGACATATTCTTAGGCCTAGCAATTGATTTCACTTTCAAGCCCAAAATCAAATAAAAAACTTCCCCGTTCAATTGCACAGTCTAACTGCATTGAGCTGGCACTGCTCACCCACTCAGCAAACAGCAGCAATTTCTCAAGGGATGCAATTACCATACAAGTGAAATGGATATCTTTTTTTCTCTCTGGACTTTTATGTGTCCACTATAAATGTGGTCATGACTTAACTTTGCTCTAAGGAAATATTTGCTTATCTTTGCTTCAGTAGGCTTCAATTAAATGCTAAAGGCTATTCTACTCTTTCTATATCCTCAGTTGCAACGTATTTCCTTCCTTCCCTTCTGAAGCTGTGGAGGAAGACAGAAGAGAAATCTGAAAGTAATAAAGTCAGACTAAACTACAAAAAGCTTGTTTAACTACTCAGTTTCAGAACACAGGCTGAAAAAAGCAGCTCTTTCATTTTTAATAAAATGACAAGAGCCAACAAACAGATGATAGCTGACAGAAAGGTACGATCACTCATTACCTGCTCTCAGAGCTGCTGATTGAAAGGTCTCTGTTAGTTCAGGCAGGTGAAGAACAGTGAGACCCAGAGGGGCATCTGCATATAAAAGCATTCACTGTGGAGCTAATAGCATATGTCTTTAAACAGAACAGTGTGAATCCAAGTGTCTGTTTGTCACCGAGCAACCTCAGTGAACTCCTTGCAAAATGAGCCTCTGCCTTACATTGCATCTGGATCATCTAGGCTGCAAACTGTTTTTAAAAATATACATTTAAGGTTCAGTGAAACTATAGTAGCTATAACAAAACTGTATTTACTATTGCTAACTTGTTGCAATTATTCTACTACATTTAATGTGCAACTTATTCAGTAAAAGATGAAGAACTAGTCTGGGTGATCAATTTGGGTTTCCATGTTACAGAGGCAGTTGGAGGTACAACCCCCTATGATGGGTCTTGATTTTATAATCAGCCCTGCCTCTTCCAGGAATATATTTCTGTCACTGTGCACTTGCAAATGTCAGAAAAGCTGATATGCCACAAAATGCTCTCAAATGCATAGTAAGACAATGAATGTTTTTCCTCTGGTACTCCCATTTTAGCAGCCCTATTTGAAAGGTAAGACAGACAGATCTGCTGATGACAGAAGAGCTGCTGAACCAAAGTATCTGGAAACCTGAGTCCTCTATAAAAAGCACAGCTAGGGAACCATCGCTGGCAGGACAAACTGGTGTGCTAACTCAGACAACCCTGTCAGTTTGCCTCGATGCAGGGATGCCTCCTCGGATGAGGAAAGAGTTCCCTGGCCCCAAACAATGCTCTCTGCTTGTATTGGCAACTGGAAACTGGGGCACCAGTCCATGGCCATGAATGTGCTCCAGATTACCAATTAGGCACAAAGTTGTGGTATCCAGTCCATATTTACTGACTTGGGCAATGATCTCCCCATGAAAGGCTCTGCATCTCAGTACTTTCTTTTTTTTGCTAAGCACATAACTTTAAACAATCTTTCATTATGTTTTCCAGGTCAGGCAAAACAGGTATTTTACCACAATGGGAGCACAATATTTCATTGCAGCGAACAGTGCAATGAGCTACAACATAGTACCAGAAATATGTGTAACAAAGCCTTGAGGTAATTCCTTTTGTGCAGGCTTCAAGCAGCTCTTATTTAATGCCTGCAGATAGCGTGATAGAGCAGCCTCAGCTGCTGCACGTGATCTCTGATAATGCAGCAGCCCAACTAAGTGGTGCTGTGGGAGAAGCTGCATGGACAAACATTCGAGTAGCGCAGGCTCATAAAACTTCTCCAGTTATTAACTCATTTTTTATAATGGGTAAATAGAAGGGATTTGATAACTGCCAGCCATGTGTCCAGTCCTCCCTTATACCCATGGGGGATGTTGGGCCTGGCTTACTGCTGCCGGGCAGGCTGCTGAGCTGAAAGTATTTGTGGCTTCTCCTAAAGAAAAATTAACCCTTGGCAACTAGTAAGGCTACCAGCAAGGCTTCTGACACACAGGTACTGTTTTCTAGCACTTTCCCTAAGCAAATGATGAGAAAATATCATCTGTCTTTCAGAGGGAGCTGCAGTAACCAAAAGATAAGAGAAGGGAAAGAGGAAGAGTAATGGGAGCAGCAGGGATGCAACTCGAGAAGCAGAGGACCAGGGAAGGTCGTCCTGAATAATTGGCACCAGGAAACAGAGCAGTATTTTTCAAAGCCTTGTCTGCATTGCCAGGTAGTGCTTCAGGCTTCATCTGTGTGACACTTAGTGTCATGTACTGTCACGAAAGGCAGGAACTTCAGTCACCAAGGCGCAGAGCTAAGAAACTGAAGTCTTACTGTCCTATGAATACTCTCATTATACGTACAGAGACAGCATGCTGATCCATGTGCCATGCATCCATCAGCAGGAGCCTCTTCGGAACCCCTGCCCGCCCGCAGCTCCGCAACCGCTCTGCGGGGGCCTCACTCCTGCCGTTCCCTAAAGGACGGGAGAGCACGGCAGCGCCAGACCGGGGTGGGGGGGGGAAGGAGAGGGAACCCGGGGTGTGCAAGCACGGCGGTGACACGGGCCAGGCACGAGGACCCCCAGCCCGGCCGGGATGTGGCGGCACCATCCAGCCCCCTGCACCGCCCCGCCCGGGCCGGGGCCGCCCCTTGGCCGCGGGCCGCAGCCCGGCCCCATAAAGGCATCGGCGCGGCGGGAGCGGCCCCCGAGCGGCGGCGGCACGGCCCCAATGCACTGCACCGGGTGAACGCCGGCCCCCATGCACTGCACCAGGTAAGCGCCGGTCCCGCTCCGCCCGGCACGATTTTGCGAGCGGAGCCGGCCCCGGGGAGCGCAGCCCGCGGCTCCCTCTGCTCCGCGCCCCTCCCGCCCTGCGCGGCCCCTGTGCCCGGGCAGCGCCCCGCGGTGCTGCTCGCCCCTTCCCTGCCTGCTCGGTGTTGCCTCCTCCAGCAGCCTGTCTCAGGTTGTGGCGTCGGGTTTTGCGTACTGGGCTGTTTGTTGTTATTTCGGGTGTTTTTTTCTTTGTTTGGTTGGGTTTTTTTGTTTGGT